GGGTGGGGGGCAGGTGGGTGGTGGGGGCGTTGAAAGGGCAGGAGCAGCGAGGTTGCTGGCTCGTGGTGGAGGCAAAGTGTGGACTTCCTTGAGGCAGAGATCAGGCCTTCAAACTCTTAAATCGATATCCGTTACTGTCTAGTCATTTTCAACTCACAGCGACCCCGTGTTGCAGAGCAGAACTGTTCCATACGGTTTTCTAGGCTGTAATCTTACGAAAGCGGATCACCAGGCCTTTCTTCTGCAGCACTGCTGGGTGGGTGTGAACCGCCAACCTTTAGGTTAGTAGTTGAACAAAACGGCACCACCCAGGGACCTTCTTAAAGTGATACTGAGTCGAATTCTGGGAAGAGAACCCCTCTTGAAGAGAAGACCTGTTCTGACAGGAGAGAGCAGGGTCCTTTCTTTAAATAACACGGAGTTTGACACCAGCTGCACTCACAATGCCCCTACAATGCCAAGACTGTGCCGAGAAACAGTGCAGCGTGGGTGCAGGTTCAGAAAGAACCAGGCCCGGTGGTCTGTGTGCACATGCTGGCCAGCAGTGCAGCGGGGAGCTGCTGCCACCTGCCCTAAGCGCTCACTGCCCCAGACGCCGTTCTTCGTGCTCTGTGTGTGTGGACTCCGTGATTCTCACAGCACCCCTGGGGCCTGGCTGCTGCTGTTCTTGCTTTAGACTGTTCTACAGGCGAGGCGAGGGGTTCCGGAACTTGCCCCCAGTCTCAGCTGGCGAGCTGTAGAGTGTATGCGGTGGCCAACAGGCTGCACTGCCCCCGTGGCACGTGTCTGTAGGCCAGGAATAAGATCTCAGTTCCAGAAATCCATGCTGCCTGGCCCTGCTCGAAATGCTGTGGGGAGGGACTTGTGGGCCTCCAGGTGGCCCCTTCTCTTCTGGAGGAGGGGGAGGGGCTTGCCAAAGTGCCTCGTGTCCTGGGACCCCCTGGTCAGGGAAGCGGCCTTCCAGACAGGCCAGGACCACCAGAGCAGAGCAGCTCTGGCTTGGCTCTCCCGTTTGTGAGCGTACTCCATGGTGCTGGCGTCCGCGGTGCTCGTTGTCACTGTGAAGCGTCCCATGTGCCAGGCACCTGCTTCAGTGCATTCATTGTCCTCACTGTGGGGCTGCCGGGTGGGATGGTTCCCATTCCCAAATGAGGAAACTGAGGCTGGGGGTGAAGGAAGGCAGCTGGTAGGTGGTGGGGTCTCCAAGGTCGCTGGGCCCCACCCGCTTTCTCCTTGTGGTGTCTGCGGCGGTGACCTGCCTTTTAAGGCAGGGGACGAGCAGCTCAAGTCAAGGAGGGTGCAGCGGCGGCCTCTGCACGTCGGGGGTGTGAGCACCGTAGTCTGGCCCTGCACCTGTCCTGCCAATGCGTCACCATCTCCAGCTACTGGCCAGTGTTGGCAGCACACACAGTGGAAGGAAAGTTCTTGGAGCAGGTGGACTCGCCTTCTCGGGGAGCCGGCATGCGGGGGCCAGCAGTCAGCCTGAGGAGGGGGCGTCCGTGGGAGGGAGCAGACCTCCTGAAGTTCCAGGGAAAGGCACTGTCTTCTGATGCTCTGGGGGCTTGGTGTTTTCTTACATTTTCTTCATTTGGATTTTTGATTTGATGTTTTCTAATTGCATGCTTGTTGTCACAAGTGAAAGTATATAAAGAGATTCATAAAGAAAAAGCCAGCTGTGTCCCCCAGCTTCCTTCCCTCCCCCTCCACGCACCGCTGCCCCCAGCCAGGAGCACCCTGAGGAACCTCAGCTCCGCATTCACCCACCACTGCTGGCTTGCGCGCGTGGGTCCCCGCGCAGCCTGGAGTCTGTGCGCGGACTGCACTGCCCCCTACCCTCAGGAGCCGGGAACAGGAGCCTTGCACAGTGGGAGAGGGATACAGGATAGGAGAGGGAGTGTGCAAGGCTGGACTTAGAGGTGAAGAGTACGAGCTTAAAGACACCAGTAGGCGCTCACACCGATTGTTCACGGAGGGTAGAAATTGCAGCCGGCTGACGGGCAGCAGTTGTTTGCCGGTGGCTCATCTGACTGCATTTGTTCAGCAAAGCGGCTCCTCCCTGCTGACCGTGCCACCAGTCCCGACACCCACCAGTTTCCCAAGTTGGCTCGGAAACCCCCTCTTTCTGCGGTGCTCGTCTGAGCAAGGAAAGGCTGGCGTGGGGCTGCGGGGAAGCTGGGGCCTTCCCACCTGCTCCCTGGGGAGTTGGCGCGGCGGCGTCCCCGCGGGTCAGTGGGCTCCTTCGGGGGGCCGTGTGACTGGAAAGTCATCTCCCTCTCTCCTGGCCTCTCCGTGACATCCCTGTGCCTTCCAGGAGGTGGTGACGGTTGTTGTTGGGTTTTTTTTGTTTGAATTTCTGGAAGGTGGGGATCTGGCTAGGTGACTAGAGGTCGTTTGCACCGGTCACCACGTGACTTTGGCCACCTCTATGCAGCAGCTTCCCTCCCTTGGGCGTCGTTCCGTTGGCCTTTGATCCTGGGGCTCAGCCTGCAGCCCTAGGGGCTCAGGTCCGTCTGTGTTAGTGTGCGCACCCGGGGTGAGGAGGGGGCCCGGGCTCGGGTCTGTCTGTGTTAGTGTGCACACCCGGGGTGAGGAGGGGCCCGGGCTCGGGTCCGTCTGTGTTAGCGTGCACACCCGGGGTGAGGAGGGGGCCGGGGCTCGGGTCCGTCT